TTGCTTGCGCCTTCACGAGTGTCTTCTTGAGCTGTGTCAAGTCGTTTTTGTGGCTCGTGGCGTTTCCACCCTCTTTTCTCGCGGCTGCTGGCTGTCGGCCCTGCTTACTTCTCTCCGTCCGACCTATTGCTCCGTTCTGAGCCGATTTTAGCCTTTTTCGGAGCGCTTAGTAGGCGGGATGAAGGTCAGCCGGAATACACTTTGGTCCCAGAAATCGCCTCTACTTCTTCTTCCTCTTCCGGGGTGATGTAAGGAAGAAGTTTGTTTCTTAAACCGCGGTAATCAGCTTGCCGCCCGAAGCACCCTTATATTCGCCTTCATGAGCACTTCATGTACCCTTCTAAAGGAGCCACCCGTTTTCATTCCTGACTGCCAGTCTGACCAGAATCGTCGTTTTCTTCTTTGTTTCATTGCTTTTTGTTTCATCTAGTTTTCTCACTCCTCTGTTGGTTAGGTCGGAATTCTTTTTTCGGCAACAGTAGCTTATGTAGCCCCACTCACTAACCCCTACAACCTGCATGTTTTCCTACGAAAACGTTGACTATCGGGTTTTATGGGCGGGAAATTAGGACACGCAGTGGAATATACTTTAATAAATGCTAAATGGATTTTTATTTTACTGTATTTAGAAGTGTTGTTCATTTATATCTGTAGATTGGCTAATCTGTATTATCATTTAACTTATTGCGTAAAAACCCGATTATCAAACTGCAGGTTTCTTGAATTTCCCAAAAAATTGAAGTGGTGGTTAGGAGGTCATCTACTTCAACTTACCTGAGGTCCAACTTACCGTTCTGGAGTCAGATTAGTATAATCCGCGGCGCTAAGCGCCGCGCACACCTTCAATTTACATGCAGAATAACCTGCTCCCAGCGGCCGCGGGAAGCAACTTCGACTACATTTTTTCACTCAACACTTACTTCTAAAAATTTCCTTCTCCGCCTATCCTATTTCCCCGCCCCATAGTATCTATAACCACCGTTTTTGCAGGACAAAATGCTGGGACTAGGGGTATAGGAGTGGGGCTACATAAGCTACTTTTGCCCTTTTTCTACTAAAACAACTAAGACAAGACATGGCAACGTATTCAACCACGGTGAAGTTCGCCTTTATTTTCGAATCGGCGAGGGCTGGGATTTAGAGATGTGAGTATATAATAAAAATAATACATAAATTACGCTCAGTCTGCCTCATGGTCTTCGGATTTCCCACGTTTTCGTATTTAGGTTTTTTTCTGAGGGGAGAGTGGAAGTATACAGTGTCCGAACCCGGCCTTTTGCTTATGGAATCGTTGCCTTTGAATTTCTGGTGCGATTTGAAAAAGAGGAACCGAATGCCTATTATCTTAAGCAGTCTAGAAATCACACCGTTAGAATCACCCCTAGGTGAGGGAAATAAATTGCCATCTTGGCTTTTTAAATCTTTGGCACTTGCGTTAGATCACTGACAACATCGATCGAAGCGAAGTAGGTAGGAAAGATGGCTGGCCGGCCATCGGAACTATTTTTTAAAAATGTTCTGAGCTTTCAAACTCGTGCAGGAATCCAACGTTATAGGTAAATTTAGCACCATATCAACTAATAGGTATCGCGGGTTATGAGCCAATCAAACAACAATGAGGCAGGCCTAGATATGGTTGCACAAAGCCACTGCCCGTGCCAAATCAATAAATCGATTGACTACACAGTCATCTTTAGGCGTGTGTTCCTGATGTTTGATTGCCTAATGCCCTTTATGAATGTTGTGTGTCCTTTCATCACTTTTATCGTTGATGGTGAATTCCTGCACAAGATTGTAAGCTCAGAAAAATAAAGAAATAGTTGCGGTTATCGAGTAGTCTTCTGTTCCTCTTTTCATACTTACGCCGCAAATGCAAACATCGATTCCATTCGTTAAAATAATTGGATTGCAGGACAACCTACTAATCCCTCAACTTAATCCTAACTCTAGTAACCGGCCTCAACCCCGACTCCCAACTACTAATCCGAAATACGAAACCTGACTGCTGACTCCGACAACCAACATAGTAGGCAAATACAAGCCCTAGCTTCAGGAACTACTAATAGATTGTAATCGAAACCACCAATAATCTATAACTCAATCCCTACCCTCCCCCCACTTAACAATAATTCTAGGCCTACAATCATTACAGGGAGCGGACTCTAATGAGTAGCACCGTACAGTTTCCGAGTAATGAAAACGTGCGACTTTTCTTAAATATCAATGCAGACCCTAAACCCATCCTAAATCCTGCAGCGCGGTGTAAGAATTTGACCACCAAAATACCCGTTTTACTGTTATTGAGCTTTTATGAATACCAATACGCCTCCCAAAACGATTTCAGTATGAATGCCAAAATGCGGCCACGTTGCCAAGTCCTCCCTTGATCTCGCTTAAATACTTTATTATTCTCCTTTATGTTCATCCGGACCTTTTCTGCACATTTAGTTGATCTGGTTGGTTGTCTTCCTTGCGACCTTATTAATCGACATCCCCTTCGGTCTCGTGTGTGGGTTTGGCTTCTCCCTAATTACTATCGTCTATCGAAGTCAGTACGGTGGCCGAAACACACTTGGCCGCGCGGGAGACACTGGCCTCTACTCGGAGTTGCATCGGTTTAATAGGGTTAGTCAACGAGTCCATAATGATTTTTTTCCAGTTTCCTTTTAGATTTCGTTTCAAAGTTGTCCCACCGGTAGCGTTAGGGTTGATGTGACTCCGTGAACATTTTCAGCCGTCGGATATCATCCACCGTTTGTAAAAATGTTTGGTTAGATTTTGAAGACGATAAAAGAAGCCCAGGTCAACAAACGCATCAAATTTCGAACCACCCTTCTGCGACATAAACCACCAAATCGTTTCCATACAATTTTCCTGTGTATAAATCGTTAGTCCTCAGTACTAACATTCAGTACTCTAAATGCGTAGCAAATATATACTCATAGGTTTATGTCGGTGCTCACATAGAGCCGAAATCGCCTCTAGATAGTTGAATATTTTGTTGAAAAATACGGTCGCATGCTGTTTCTTAGTTCGTTTTGCCTTTTTTAACCATCTGCCATGTAGTTGGAGGAAGTGGACAAGATAAAGATTATTCGCTTCGAGGGACCCGTTTACTTCGCCAGCGCGGAGTGCTTCCAGACCACAATTTATCGCCTGTCTGGACTTGATTCTTCGAAAATCAAGCCTCCCCGCAGACGTAATCATAAACCCATGATTAGTCAGTGTTGCAACAAATCTCGCAAGGATGCGGAGTTAGCGGGCTCAGCTGGGGGAGACCCCAACGGCCCAGTCGCAGATCCCCATGCCCCAGGCGAAGACGTGAGTGCGGATTTTGTTGTTTTTGTTGTTGTTGTTGTTGTTGTTGTTGTTGTTGTTGATGCCATTTCTTTACTCTGACTTCTATCCATTACGCTGAACACTTTTTTTCCTTAGAACGAAATTTAAGTGCATAACTTTAACTCACAAGTCGATTCTTGCGAGCTTTATCCTGGTGGCTCTTACCGCTTGCCTGACCGTCGCACAGATTGTCATGAAACCATCATGAAGAGACAGTGACGATTTTAACCTTGGTTAGATTATAATCACAGCATCACGTGTGGGCTTTTCAATTTGAGCCGCAATTTTTCCCCTCGCGCTATTCCCATGTGAATTTTCCTATATATACGTTGGTTGGCCTACTTTGCCCATTATAAACCGATTTTTATTCCTCTTTGTGTACTTGAAGTACAATGGGCACAAGGTCATAAGACTAGCGCCGTTTTGAATGCAGTCCAATATGATCTATATTTGACGAAGTTTCCAAGGACATTTATCCACGATGTCGAAAATTGCAGTCACTTGAGATTATGGATAACTTTTGATATCACGTTGTTGTGAGTTCGTGCGACTAATTTTATTCTTTTAGAATAGAGGAAATTGTTGCTGCAAATTTTGGAATTATATTTTCAAACTAAAGCGCATCACTCTCTCAAAATTCCAATTCACCCTCTTATCGCGAACAAGGGACAGTTCGATCGTTTCTCTCGAATATGTCCACCATGAGCTTCAGCAAGCTGAAGCAACGTGGTGACTACGGATAGTTTATAGTGCAAGTAGAGTCGCCGGATCTATTCTACTCTCTGACCACTCCCACTCCCACACCTGAAACCGATGTCAAGACAAAGGCCGAGAAGACCGGAGATGAGTGAGGGCGTAGGCGATGTGCAGGAGACACTCCAACACGCGCCACAACAGCACCTTGCTAGGTAGGCTCCCCCATGGGAGCGCCATGAAGGCCACATTAAGAAGGAGCCATTGAGCCTGACTCTTAACCCATAGTAAGCTACTCCGCACAACAAGACACACACTGGACTGACTACAGTGTCCAAGTTATCCCGTCA